CCCCCGGTACCCGCGAGCGGCGGCGGCAGCAGTGGTGACGGCGGTGGCAGCAGACGATGCGGGGACACCCCTCTGTCAGCGAGGCCCCATGGCGAGGTTGGTGATGGGATGCATGGATGGCACTGTGTCCTTACCGGTCCGGGCTGCTGGTTGGACGGGTCACAGGCCAAGGAGACGAGATCTTTGAGCGGGTCCTGCGGGTTGAGATGAGGCGGGTACCGGATCGCCGTGTGCGGAAAGTAGGTGGAGGCCGTCTGGGGAAGGATGGAGGTGGTGGGGAAATGCAGCGCAGACGATGGGTGTGGGCTCCGAGCAATACCTGGAGGCGAGAGCAGAAAGGGGGGGAGGACCCACCAGTGTCACTACAAGCTGCCACTGCCTTGACACGCTCCCCCCAAGTCTCCTGCCCACTCGGTCTGTGCCTCAGTTTCCCCGCCGGGACACTCACCGCTGTGCACCGCGATGACGGGACGGTGGTGCTGCGTGAAGCTGCTCAGCCGGGGTGAGGAGTCCTGGGGAGATGGGCTGTTGAACGGGGACTTGTCCATCTCCGTCTTCTTCACTGTGGGGGAGATGCCTGGGGACAGCGGGGCACAGTGTCACACTCCAGCACCTGCTGCAGCCCCCTGACAGCCCAGGACTGCTGCCAGCCTGGTCTGGGGTCAGGGGACTCCTTCCTGGGGCAAGGGGCACCAGCTGGGCATGGCTGTGAGCACGTGTGTGTGCACATGTGTGGTGTTTGCGTGTGCAGGAGGGTGTACACAAGTGTCAGCATCTCCAGGGTTGTACTACAGGTGTGCACATGCACGTGTGTGTGCACCAGCAGACAGATGTGCACACACTTGCGTGCATAAATGTGCATGCATGTGTACACGTGCATGTATGTGCACCAGCACAACTGTGTGCAGCTGTGGGAGGGTGTGCACATGCACACGTGTGTGCAGGCATGTGCTCATGCATGGGCATCAGCCAGAGATCTGTGCCTCTGTGTGCACATGTGTGTGTCTATGTGTGCACATGCGTGTGCACGTGGGTGCCCCCAGCTCCACGGGTGCCCAAGTGCAGATGGGGATGTTCCCACGGGTGCCCCCTGACCCTGCAGTGCCCCCTGGGCACCCTGTGGCTGGGGGACACATCCTGCCACGCAGCACAAACGGCTCTCAGGGGGCAGGAAGGTGCTGGCAGGGGGTGACCCCTCCAGGGACCCGCTCCCCAGACACCCGGGTGCTCAAGGGCCACCCCAGGGCACGGGGCCGAGCAGGAGGGGGTGGTGGGCACCCTAATCTGCTCCCCTCCCCCCAGCGTGGCTTTAGCTCCGGCCATTGGCCCAGGTCGGGTAATGGGTTTAGCCCCTTCTCAGCCGGGGGTTAGGAGGATTTCCCAGAACATCCCGTACAGGATTGCCATGACCCCCCCCCCGCTGCGGGTCAGGCCACCAGCAGGGGACAGGAACACCCTGCACAGCCCCCTCCCGCTACGCACCCCCTCGTGCAACACTTTGGGGAGGGGGTCACATCTCCCGGGGCTCCACTGCCCTCCCCCTGACCCACTGAGGTGGGGCAGAACGGGGCACCATCCCCAGCACGTATGGGACACTGTCCTGGGCCAGGACTTGCTTTTCCCCAGCCTCCAGCCCCCCCGACTGGGCACCCCAGGTCTTTGGCAGGGTTGGGGGGCCAGATCCTGCCCCACTACTGGGGGCACCAGGGGGCAGAAAACCAGCCAGGGGGGTAGGAAGACCCACCGAGGCACCCTGGGGTGTGGGAGCCACTGTTTGCTCTGCAGCTCTGCTTTAATTAGCCCAGCCCCCCCTTTTTCTTAATGAACAGCTAATTGGGGCTGTCTAGACAGGAAAGGAAAAAAAAAAAAGAAACGCTGAGCAAGAAAGAGAGCTGGGCTGAGCTGGGTGAGCTGGGCTGAGCTGGGCTGCAGCCCTGGGGCTGGGAGAGGCCAGCGTGGGGCTGGGGTGCTGGGCTGGCCCTATAGAGAGCACCTATAGAGAGAGCCCGTGCCTAAATGAGGGTGGAGCTATAGAAGGTTCATGGCACTTATAGGGAGCCCGTGCCCAAGCAGGGGTGGACCTATAGCAACACCTCAGCACCTACAGAGAGCTTGCGTTTAAAGGGGGGGCCCTACAGCAACCCCACAGCCCCCACAGCCAGCCTGTGCTTTGTCCTGAGGGTCCTATAGCACCACCCTGGCCTGCCCAGAGTACCCGGGCTTTCCCAGGGGAGGTGTGATGGTGGCAACAGAAGAGACCTGGTGAGCTGGCTGGGGTCCCTGTGGCAGCAGGAGGGGCCCTACAGAGAGGCTCCTGTAGGGAAGGAGGCACCTACCCCCTTCCATGTCTTCTGTCCAGTTGCGGCTGCTGCTGGTGGGGGAGTTGGAGGAGGTGTAGTACTCGCCCCCCGGGCTGGTGTCGATGTCATCCTCCATGGACCCCGACTTGTGCCGTTTGCTCCTGGGGGCAGGGAGGGGATCAGCACCAGCAGGGAGATGACCAGTGGCCCCAGCATCGCCCCAGCATCACACTGGCATCCCCCCACTATTGCACTGGCATCCCCCTGGCAGCCTCCTGGTATCTCCCTGGCATCCCCCTGGCCCTGGCACTGCCCGAGCCATGGCGTCATCCCGATATTGCTTCACCCCTGGCACTGCCCTGCCCCCAGTGACAGCCCCCCCGGC